AGACCCGGAAACGCGACGCATCGCCCACCTTCCCCGTCCACAGCAGTGTGGGCGAGGTCTCCGGCAAGGAGACACGGGGCCAGAGGTTGAGCTGATGCGCGGCGTACCGGACCGCAAACGGCCACAGAAAATGGGAGGCAGCCGCATGGATCATGGAGGTACGAGCGACCTCCATGACTAAGCCAATGCGGCGCTCAGCAACCCCATTCTGCTGCGGAGAGGCCGGAAGCGTGAACGACTGGGTGATGCCGTGCTCCGCACAGTAGGCTGCCAAGAGGTCTGAGGTGAACTCACCGCCTCTGTCAGAGTGCAGACGCAGGACAGGAAAGTCCCGCTGGAACCGCTCGCGGAGCTGGAGACGAACAACGCGGATCCAAGGGATCAAAACATCAGGGACGTCCCCCTTGCTGCGCAAGGGGAAGACCGTGGTGTAACGCGTGTAGTCGTCGACGACCAGCAGGAAGTACCGCTCGTGGCCCTGTCCACGGACGCGGGCTGGGCCCCACACGTCCAGGTGGAGAGTCTGCAGAGGAGCCTCTGTGGGAGGGAACGAGGAGGAGTGAGGAGCGGCGCGCTGCCGCCCCTCGACGCAAGGAATGCAGGGCGGCGCAGGCGAGGGAGGTAGGGCAGGCAGAGACCTGGGAAGACCAGAAACCAGGGAGCGAGAGTGCATGCTACGAAGGCGAGGCAGGGAGGGGTGACCAAGGCGGTGGTGCCACAGGAGAGTGTCGTGCGACAAAGCGCGACACTCGCAGGGGGCCGCCAGCTGACCAGACACAGACGCAGACGCAGCTACCTGAGGGGACTCAGTGGTGAGTGTGTACAGACTCGAGCCAGGTGCACGGGTAAACGTGGCCAGGTGTCGGCCCGTCCGAGCACACGTACAGTGAGTCACTCGCTGACTCGCAGGAGTGAACTGGTGAACCCCCCCATCCTGGAGGTCAGCTCCACTCACCAAGTTCGTAGAGAACGAGGGGAGGTAAAGACCTGACAGCGAGCCAGACGGGGCGGCCGGACACGGCAGAACTGTGGAGTAGTGGGCAAGGACAGGACCCCCAGAGGGGTCTGCCAGGGAGACTGCAACTGGCCGACTAAGCGGCGTGAGCGTGGTGCAGTCGCGAAAGAAGGAGCGGGAAGCTCCTGAGTCAAGGGTGAAGGTGTGCAAGACCGCAGCAGGCGCAGTACCAGAGAGAGCAGACTCACCAGCACCTGGAGCCGCAGCCTCACCAGCACCTAGAGCAAGAGACGTACTGGCACCTAGAGCAGCAGCCTCACCAGTACCTAGAGCAGGAGACGCACTAGCACCTAGAGCAGCAGCCTCACCAGCACCGAGAGCAGCAGGCTCTATACCAGGGTCAGGCGGTACGCACAGGTAACAGGCACGGTCAGCACTAGTAGGCAATGCATACATGGCAGTGAGAATAGCATCATAGTCAAGAGCAAAGATATCTACCCTCTGTCCAAGCAGCTCCAGCCAGGTGGGGAGCTCAGCCTCGTCGCCAAACACTGTACGCCAGGCATCGCTCAGACGGGCGAAGCAGCGGGACTGTGTGTGACCAAGCGTCCCGCAAGGCTGACCAACCCGATCACCTGTGCGAATGACGTACTGGCAGCGAACTGTACGCGTAGACCTGCTACACTGAGCGTACCACTCGTGGAGCTGCCGGGACGTAAGTGTCTCGCGTGGACGCCGCTGCAGCTGCAGCTGGCCACTGCCAGACGCTCCCAACTGACCAGCTCCAGGGCGACAGCTACGACGGCTACCGCGACAACCCCAGCTAGTATACCACTCACTAAGCTGCTGGGGCGTGAGAGACTCACGTGAACGTCGCTGGAGCTGCATCTGGCCTCCTGCCAGTAGCAGTAGCAGCAGCAGTAGCGCGGGCAGGGCAGGCGCGGCAGGCCGACAGGCAGGCAGGCCGGCAGGCAGAGAGGCAGGCAGGCAGGCAGGCAGGCAGACAGACAGGCAGGCCGGCAGGCAGGCAGGCAGGCAGGCAGGCAGGCAGGCAGGCCGGCAGGCAGGCAGGCAGACAGGCAGGCCGGCAGGCAGGCAGGCAGGCGCTCACCAAAGGCTGGAAGAGCAGGCGCTCGCCGGGCGAGCAGGGCCGGCGCTCGACGGGCGGCGGCCGAGTAGGCGCACGACAGCGGCGACGTCGGGGCCGCAACACCGGCTGCAGAGTAGGGCCGAAGCAGCTGCAGGGCGGGGCCGCTTCAGCGGCAGTTGCAGGGTGGGGCCGCGTCAGCGGCAGGTCGGGGCCGAGGCAGAGGGACGCGCGCGGCTCGGCGCGGGCTGCGCTGACAGCGCGCTGGGCTGCTGCAGGCCGCGCGCGGCCGCGCTAGGCAGTAGCGGGCCGCGCGCGGCTCGGCGCGGGCTGCTGCGGGCCGCGCGCGGGCCGAGCGAGGCAGTAGCATCCAACCTTATCTTCCTAGATTTCCATGTGCCACGTGGCACTCTACTTTTCTACCTTCACAATTCCTAGTCCCACAATCTACTTTCCAACCTTGTTTCTTGCATGCTATATCAACCTTGCTTGTAATCCCTCATATCAACCAATTCTCATTCAACTCTTCAATTACTTAGTAACTTCTTCGCCTATTTCGCCAATAGTCTTTTCGCCAAAGCCTTCCGCCGCGTTTATCCTCGACTTAGTCGACCCCGCTAATTCTTTAGCGGACTTAGGCCGTCGGGCCTAACACTTGGTATCAAGAGCCTTCGCGGGGAGCGACTTCCAACGAGCGGCCGTCGACGACGAGACTACGACGTCATCGTCCCGCGGTGCCGACTTGCAGACTTGGAGTTGTCGAGTTAACATGGACGAAACCATGCACGCTCTCCCCCACGACATGGGCAACACGCTTGCCGAACTCATGCGCCAACTTCAAGAGTTGACGTTGGAAAATCGTCAGGTACGAGCCGAAATGCAACAGCTTCGTGAATTGGCTTCTAACCCCCATGGTCATGCCGCACCAACTCCTGCACCCACCACGTCGACTGGCGCGGAAGCGCTGCCGGAACGTCGAAGCGCGCTCAAGCCGCAGAAGCCCGAGTCGTTCGACCCAAGTCAACGCGACGCGAACGTGCGGACGTGGCTCTTCATGCTCAACAACTACTTCGCCGCGAGCGGGGTGCAAGAGGCGGACGCGCAGCAGCGGATCGAGTACGCGGTGACGCTGCTGAGGGGCCCGGCCTTGGAGTGGTGGCGCCAACTTACGCAGACTGCTGTTAGAAGGGCTCAGACGGACGGGCATCAACAGGGCGTGGGGCATGCAGCTGCAAGCTCGAGCTTAGGAAGTCTAGCTTTGGGTGTTACCACGGTTCCGACGACATGGGAAGGATTTGAAGCGGCGCTGAAAAGTAGGTTCGACTTGGTGAACGCCTCCGAAGCTGCTAGGAAGCGTCTGCGTCATTTCCGACAGATAGGAAACGTCCAGGAGTACACACGACGGTTCTTGAGCATCTGCAACGAGATAGACGACATCACGGAAGCAGAGATGCGCGATCGCTACCTCGAAGGGTTGAAGCCGGACATAGCGGAGGTCATAGCGATTCACGGGTTGTCCACCTTCGAGTCGGTAGTCGCAGCAGCAGAACGCGTCGACGCAGTACGAAGCCGACGGGGTCGTGACGATCGCGATAGGGGATACAACAGACCGATCAACGACGCTCGATCGAGGGACGGACCGTCGCCCATGGAGATTGGTGCAGTTAACAGTGACGGCTCACAGTGTAACGGTTATAGGGGGAACTGTCACTACTGCAAAAAGCCGGGACACATGAAGCGGGACTGCCCACAGCTTAAGGAGCGGCAGCAGGGAAACGGAAACCGCCAGTAGATAGCGGGTCGCTAGCTGGTGTGGAGGCTTCCGTACCCGCCAAGTCTACCGACGTAGAGGAGACAGCTCTGGAGCAGTCATCTACGGAGAACGGGGTAGACACTGTTGATCGTCCAGTCGTGCTTCTAGGGAAGCTTCGAGGTGTTCCAGTCAAGATTCTCGTAGATAGCGGAGCTAGCCACTCGTTCGTGTCTTCATCGCTAGTTAGTCGTCTCCATCTCGAAGCAGATTCTGCAGTCAACTTCAAGGACGCGCGCATGGTAGATGGGACGCCACTCAACATAGGGCCAATCATTCGCAAGTTGCGCGTAACACTAGGACCGATCACAGTTAGGCGTGATTTTGACTCTGCGACGCTGGGCGGATACGATTTCATCTTCGGTAGAGATTGGCTACGGACGGTTAGCGCTCGGTTCGATTGGGCTCAGGGAAGCTGCAGTGTCAAGGTAGACGGGGAGTTCCGGGAGCTGCCACAGTGGAGCGATGGGGCCACATCCTCCACAGCTATCATTAATGCTGTTCGTGTGCGACAGTTAGTGAAGCGAGCAGCACGGATCTTCGCGGTTTTCCTTGAGGAGGTGGAAGCTGAGGAGGGGAAAGGAGGGAGTGCAGCAGTTAGTGAGAAGGCGACTCTTCCTGCTGAGGTGAGTGCACTGTTTGCGGAGTTCGCAGACGTCTTCCCTGACGAGTTGCCCCCAGGGTTACCTCCCAGCCGAGCAGTAGACCATCGAATAGAGTTGGAGCCGGGAAGCAGGCCAGTAGCGAAGCCGCAGTGGAGGTTGAGTCCAGCAGAGACAGAGGAGATGACGCAGCAGGTTAGGCACTTCCTAGCACATGGGTTCATTCAGCCATCTAGATCACCATGGGCCGCACCGATCCTGTTCGCGCCTAAGAAAGACGGAGGGTTACGGATGTGCATAGATTACCGCGCACTGAATACCGCCACCGTCAAGAATAGATTCCCGGTGCCGAGAGTAGAGGATCTTCTCGATGCAGTGCAGGGCGCTAGAGTCTTCTCCAAGATCGACCTTCGTTCGGGTTACCACCAGATTCGCGTAGTTCCAGAGGACCAGCACAAGACGGCGTTTCGTACGAAGCAGGGGTTGTACGAGTTTAGAGTTATACCGTTCGGCTTGACCAACGCCATAGCGACGTTTCAGACGCTCATGAACACAGTCCTCTCGGAGTTCCTAGGTTCGTTCGTCGTAGTTTACCTAGACGACATCCTCATATTTTCCAAGTCAAATGAGGAGCACGTGCAGCACTTGCAGAAGGTCTTTGAGGTCTTGCGGAGGGAGAAGCTGTACGCGAAGCAGTCTAAGTGCGAGTTCTTCCTCCCCGAGGTCGAGTTTCTAGGTCACGTCGTTTCCGCTAGTGGCATTAGGACCGACCCGAAGAAGATCGCAGCAGTACAGGATTGGATAGCACCGACCTCAGTCAAGGAGTTGCAGAGTTTCCTCGGTTTTGCGAACTACTACCGTCGTTTCGTTCAGGGTTACGCTTCCATTGCTAGTCCACTCACCGACCTACTTCGGAAAGGCGTAGAGTACGTTTGGGGTCCAGCGCAGCAGCAGGCGTTCGAGCAGATGAAGCAGTCGCTCACGTCTTCACCGACACTGTCGTACCCCGATCCCACTCGCCCGTACGTTGTAGTGACCGACGCTTCAGATCAGGCCATAGGAGCAGTACTTCTTCAGGACCAGGGACGCGGGTTGCAGCCGATCGCGTACGAGTCGCGTAAGCTTAGGGGAGCAGAGTTGAACTATCCGATTCACGACAAGGAGGCGCTCGCGATCATCCATGCGTATAAGGTGTGGAGGTGCTACCTAGAGGGGGCAGATAGTGTTATACGCACGGACCACTGTTCGCTTCGTTTCCTCAAGTCGCAGCCGCAGCTGAGTCGTCGCCAGGCTAGATGGATGGAGTTCATGGAGGGGAGTTTTCACTACAGGATAGAGTACAAGCCAGGCGTGCGCAACCCAGCAGATCCGCTCACTCGCCCTAGTTGCCAGCTCGCTAGTCTCACAGTCACTGCCGGCCATCCACTTCTCACAGCACTCTTCGAGCACGGTTACACAGTAGATCCCGACTTCACACCGCAGCCGCCCGCAGGAGCAGAGGTGCAGGGTAGTGTCTACATACGGAAGGGTACAGCACGGATTTGGGTTCCAGCCTACCGCCCTCTTCGACAGCTCCTTCTCTCAGAGGCACACGACGTAGTTAGTGCAGGTCACTTTGGAGCAGACAAGACGGTTAAGACCCTTAGTCGCACGTACTACTGGCCAGGGCTTGCAGCAGACATAGAAGATAACATTCGCTCGTGCGACACGTGTCAGCGTACGGAGTCCTCTCGCCAGCGCAAGGCGGGACTTTTCCAGCCGATTCCACCGCCGGATCGCCCTTGGCAGGTAGTTATGATAGACTTCATCATGGCATTACCGCGCACAGTCAGGGGTTCATGATGCCATCTTCGTTGTAGTCGACAAGTTTTCTCGAGCAGCGCATTTCATCCCCACGCACGGCCAGGTCACAGCAGAGGAAGCCGCGACGTTGTTCGTAGATAACGTAGTCCGACTGCACGGGGTTCCAGATTCCATCATTTCCGACCGCGACCCTAGATTCACTTCGAAGTTTTGGAAGCAACTTTTCACACTATTTGGGACTCGCTTAGCCATGTCGTCTGCGTACCATCCAGAGACAGACGGACAGACTGAGCGCGTGAACCAGACCTTGGAGCAGATTCTTCGCAGCATCACGATGCACGACGCAGCAGCATGGGACAAGAAGCTGAGCATGGCCGAGTTCGCATACAACAACACGCACCACTCCGCCACAGGCATGTCACCGTTCTTTGCACTGTACGGTCAGCACCCCAATGTCCCCACTCGTGTCGATCTCACACCCACTGTCCCTCGTGCGGACAATTTCCACCAGCACCTCACCTTCATTCACGACCACGTGAGGAAGCACCTTGAGCTTGCAAATGCACGCATGGCACGCACCACCAACCGCAGTCGTCGTGAGGTGTCGTTCGCAGTCGGTGACCGTGTCCTTCTCGATAGCCGCAACCTCCGACTGCCACAGGACAGCAAGCTTCGTCCACGTTTCATTGGTCCATTCGTCATTGAGCGCGCACTTGGTCCAGTCGCATACCGCCTTCGCCTTCCCGCTCATTTCCGCATGCACCCGTCATTCCACGTGTCTCTCCTTCGGCCTTACACCGATCCCAACTCCACCTTCTTGGACCGTGATCGCACTCCACTGCCGGTAGCTGTTGACACCGACGAGCCCGACTACCAGATCCAGCGCATCCTCAGGCACCGTCGCCGTCTGCAGGGAGGTGTCTCTTTCATCGACTTCTTGGTTCGTTGGCGTGGTTACGATGCAGCCGACGACAGCTGGGTTCCTTCGTCCTCGCTGTCTCCCGACAACGCTTGCCTCCAAGCGTACCTTCAGTCTGCAGGCGCCGCGGACGTCGCCTCCTTGGGAGGGGGGTAGTGTTACAGGGGGTTTTACTGTTCATTCCGAACAGTACTTTTCCCAACCCATCCAACCTTATCTTCCTAGATTTCCATGTGCCACGTGGCACTCTACTTTTCTACCTTCACAATTCCTAGTCCCACAATCTACTTTCCAACCTTGTTTCTTGCATGCTATATCAACCTTGCTTGTAATCCCTCATATCAACCATTTCTTATTCAACTCTTCGCCAATTACTTAGTAACTTCTTCGCCTATTTCGCCAATAGTCTTTTCGCCAAAGCCTTCCGCCGCGTTTATCCTCGACTTAGTCGACCCCGCTAATTCTTTAGCGGACTTAGGCTGTCGGGCCTAACAATTGCCTTGGAGCCTGTAAGATTGAACATGAGAAAGCATACTGTACGTGACGATGGCCCCTTAATTTTATCAGTGTAAATCACCCTGATGCCCTGACTAGAAGGGTGATTTTTGGTAGTAACACTGATGCTGTTGGGTAGTTTTTTTCGGGACTTTGATTTACCCTGATGTGCCAGGGTTTAAGATTAAAACCCGGGTACAGCATGGTTATTTTCAAGTTCAAGATTATTGAACCTGAAATCGTCAAAAACAGGGTCAGGGTTGCTGTTAAGCTTATCGAGGTTTACCCTGAAGCGCGTACCAGCCAACCCCCCCCCCACCAAACCCCCCCCCACCGTCCCCTAACCACCCGACCCCGAAACCTGGATTTTCCCTTTGCCAACTGTTGAAAATGTAGATTTCGGCAGGACTTTACCTGTGCTGGAAAGAGGTGGGCCACCATTGGCCAGCAGGGTTTTGCGAATTGATACACTGATGCCTCAGGGTAGTCTGTTTAATACATGCAAAAACCCTGACGCATCAGGTTTTCCACAACGGGTAACCCTGAAAATCAGGTTTTTTAACAGGTGCTAGACTGATCCTAAGGGTTGGTCAAAACAAAAAATTAGCCCTGTACGTGACATGAGCAGATGAACTACAGAGAGGGCAAATAGAGGGTATGGTACCAGAATGTGCGTGAGACCTTTTGCATGTAACTGCACCTTCACTGATTTTGAGTGTACATAATGAATGAGATCGTACATACACACTGAATGTGCTTGTACTGTCAAGATAGCAGGAATGGAAATGATGAAAGGAGGGTTTGCACTAGCAGCAGTTGGCATACATATAGGAAACCCTGATTGGGTTGTACTCGCTATAGAGTACCCCACTGCAGGCTAGACAATAATAACATTCTGACACACCCCCATAGCCAAAGTGGGGTGTAATCAGCACAATGAGCAGGCATAGCAATAGTTCACAATTATAAGCAAAGCTAGATGTAATCACAGAGGGCAAGTGAGGAGGAGGAGGAACTGTGAAGGGAGAGAAGATTGGAGACGACGACTGAAGCTGCAGACACACGGGCAACAGGAGCGCGCACACAGTGGCTACCGGGACAGCGCCCCGGACTACTGGAGTAACTGGCTCGGCGGCTACGAGGAGCGGCAAGAGCAACAGACCCACGGGCGACAGGCACAGCAGGCTCTCTGGGCTACCGAGAGCACGACGGCTCCGGACTACTGGCGCTGCAGGCGACACGACGGCATCCTCCACGCAACCTCCCCCGACCGTCCCACGCCCCTCTCACACACCCCCTGCTGAAACCCTAGCTCCACTCCCACGGCACCCCCCTTAAACCCTAAACCCTCGGCTCCCACACACCCACCCCCCTCAGCGGCAGCTGCAGCAGTGGGAGACGGAGGAGGAGGAGGAGCTGCAGGTTACCCACACCGGTCACCCCCATGCCCGCCACCCCCAAACCCTAACGCAGGCAGGAGCGCGGGAAGCAGGAGGGGCGGTTCACGGAGGGAAAGGGAGGCGGCGGGGGGGTCTCCAGGGCGCCACGAAGAAGCAGGGCGCGGGCCCCCCGAGGGCGCCACGGCGGGTGACGGGAGGGGGGCCGCGCACGGGCCCCCGAGGGCGGCTCGACGGGCGACGGGAGGGGCCGCGCGCGGGCCCCCAAGGCGCCGCGACGAGGCGACGGGAGGGGGCGGCGCGCGGGCCCCCAAGGCGCCGCGACGAGGCGACGGGAGGGGGCGGCGCGCGGGCCCCCAAGGTGCCGCGACGAGGCGACGGGAGGGGGGGACGCGCGGGCCCCCAAGGCGCCGCGACGAGGCGACGGGAGGGGCCGGCGCGCGGGCCCCCAGGGCGCCGCGACGAGGCGACGGGAGGGGGCGACGCGCGGGCCCCCAGGGCGCCGCGACGGGCGACGGGGGGCAGCGCGCAGGTCCCCGGGGGCGCCAGGACGGGCAGAAAACCGCCGTGCGAAGCAGGAAACCGCCGCACGCCTCGGGGCGCACGGCGGGCAGAAAACCGCCGCACGCCCCGAGCGCACGGCGGGATGAAAAACGCCGCGCGCTCCGAGTGCGCGGCAGGAAGAAAGGGTCGCGCGCTCAGCAGTAGAGCAGCGGAAGCATCGGGTGGGGCCCACCCACAGGATCGACCCAGGAGGGTCGACCTGCTCTGATAGCATGTCAAGATAGCAAGCAGGAATGGAAATGATGAAAGGAGGGTTTGCACTAGCAGCAGTTGGCATACATATAGGAAACCCTGATTGGGTTGTACTCGCTATAGAGTACCCCACTGCAGGCTAGACAATAATAACATTCTGACATGTACGTATCGATTGTGATTGTGCATGCGTATCACCAGGAAGTACAGTAACAATACACACAAACTATTGTCTGTTGAGTTATACAACATGAACGGCATGACACACACATAAACAGTAGTGTGAGCTTAACAGTGTAGTTGACATACCGTGGTACCGTAATTGCGCACAGCATCATGTGGAGGAGGCTTTTCAGTCGACTAGGTGATTTCTGAGTCGACTCAAAAGGCAACAGCGTAGTTGACCTAGCATCATGTGGAGGATAAGTCAACGACGGACGAACTCTTTCTGCTCGGCCGCATTCGCTGCACTGACGATGCAGACCGCTTGGGAGTCAATCTCCCCTGCGCTAACCCCTCTCTCGCCGCTGCTGCCGCCGCTGCTGCTGCTGCTGTTGCTGGCACTGCTGGCACCGACACCGCCACTGCTGCTGCTGCTGCCTCTAGTGCTGCTGCTGCTGGTGCTGCCGGTGGGGGCCCCAAGGGTTATGTTGCCTGGCCTAAGGGAAGTAGGAATGAGTGGGGGAGGTTGAGAGGTGCGCGAGGGATGGAGGAATGAGGGGAAGAGGAAGAGGAGGAAACGAGGGGGGCGAGGGAAAGGGAGAAACCAGGCCCCTGATGGGAGAGGGGCGGATGAGAGGTGGAAAGCACAAAAGCAAATGAGAGTGGAGAATGGGGAAAGGAGATGATTGTTGGAAATGAGACGAGTTTAACTGCCTTTCGAAACTCGTCCCATTTTAGAAGTGGAGACGGGGTAGATGATTGTTGGGAGAGAGGGTCAAACAGAGAGGCAGAAACACGAGTTTTGAGGGGCCTCAAACACACTCCTGGGTCGACTCAAAACAGTTTTGAGGCACCTCGAAACTCGTCCCATTTCAGGGGGAGATGACATTTGGAAGAGAGGGCCAAAATGGAGCGACAGAAGGGCAAGCCGGGCTAGTGTGGGCTTGTCATCACAAGAGGACGATCGAACGGGTGAGACAGAAGAAGGGAAGCGGGGGGGGGGGAGGAGGAGGAGGAGGAGGAGGAGGAGGAGGAGGAGGAGGAGGAGGAGGAGGAGGAGGAGGAGGAGGAGGAGGAGGAGGAGGAGGAGGAGGAGGAGGAGGAGGAGGAGGAGGAGGAGGAGGAGGAGGAGGAGGAGGAGGAGGAGGGGGGGGGGGGAGGAGGGAGGGAGGGAGGGAGGGAGGGAGGGAGGGAGGGAGGGAGGGAGGGAGGGAGGGAGGGAGGGAGGGAGGGAGGGAGGGAGGGAGGGAAGGAGGGAGGGAGGGAGGGAGGGAGGGAAGGAGGGAGGGAGGGAGGGAGGGAGGGAGGGAGGGAGGGAGGGAGGGAGGGAGGGAGGGAGGGAGGGAGGGAGCGAGAGGCGACAACGGACCTCAGCAGAGCGTGCCTTGGAGGGGGAAGACCACGGGGCTGTTGAAGGTCGTCTGTGGAGGGAGACCATCCGTGAAGCTAAAATGTGACCCGTAAAAAGAGCAGGGACCTCATTATGCAAGACAAAAAAAGAAGTGAGTACGGACCTCACCAGAGCGTGCCTTGAAGGGGGAAGACCACGGGGCTGTTGAAGGCCGTCTGTGGAGGGAGGAAGGAGGAGAGAAGAGCAACCTTGCAAGCTGCTGCACGTGCAGAGGCACCCACCACATGCTCCCTGTGCCCCCCATGCTGGCTGCGAGCCTGCCTCTCTTGCCTCTCCTGTGTGCCACTGTGAGCGTCAGAGCGACGAAGAAAACGACGAGGGAAAGGAGGAGGAAGCTGCTGCTGCTGTCACTGTCTGTGTCTTTGTCTCTGCCTGTGTCTCCCTCTCCCTCTCCCTCTCCCTCGCTGGTCGATTCTGCAGTGCTCTTACTCACTCCTGCCTCCGTTGCTGCTGCTTTCGCCGTGGGAAGAACAGTAGAGGAGGAGGAGACAGCAGGGAAGGTTCCGAGGAAGCGGCGATGTGGCTGTGGTTTGCCTCTGGAGGTTACAGTCTCTTCTCCCCCACCCCACCACCACCAACCTCCCCTGCTGCTGCTGCTGCCGCCGCTGCTGCCCTTGGTGCTGGTGCTGGTGCTGCTCCTGTCGAATCCACTGCTTGCGTCTGTTACGTCCCCTCCCTCCTTGCTCTCATCTTCCCCCGAACCTGCCACCGAACCAGGTTCCGAGCCTGCGTCTCCAAGCTTCCATACCACCTGCCCAGTACTGCTATTAGCACCAGCAGTAGCTGCATCAGCAGCAGCACCAGCAGAGGTCGCAGCCCCATTGACAATAGCAGAAGAACTAGCACCAGCAGCAGCAGCAGCAGCAGCAAGAGAGGAGGAAGCAAGGGCAGCAACAGCAGGCACCCCTTCATACAGAGCAGCACCGAAAGTCCAGGACACCTGCCCAGATACACCCTCCCCCAGATCCACCTGCTCATCCCTCAACCCCAGCCCTTCCCTCAGCAGCACCACCACGTAAGCTGCCCGGAAACAATTCTGCTCGAAACCTTTTATGCCGCCCCACTTTGCCTGGACTTCGGGCCACGGTCGGAAGCAGTACGCCTGCCCGCGGGCCAAAATTGCGTCCAGGGCAGCTGACGTGTTGCCGCGGGGGATGGGCTTGGCCGCCTGCCCGTCGTGTGAAAAAATCCAGCTGCCCGGCCTGCCCGGCGGCACCTCGTTGCCTGCCCATAGAGCCTCGTAACGTCTGCCCCAACCCCGGTTTAGCAGAGCTTTTTTGAATCTCAGAATCCTGTTCCTGTTGCTCCTGCGGCTGCTGCTGCTGCTGCTGCCCCTGCTGCTGCTGCTGCTGCCCCTGCTGCTGCTGCTGCTGCCCCTGCTGTGGCTGCTGCTGCAGGGGCGGCGGCTCTTGGAAAACCCCAAAGAAGAGAGACACCACGTAGAAGCCCGCTAGAGCAGAGAAGCGCCCCTTGAATGCAGGCTGGTGCACGCCCAACGCACAGGGAGGGGGGTCCGCCCCCTCTCCTCCCGTCCCACATGCCACTCCGCCTGCTGCTTTTGCTGCTGCTGCTGCTCTTTCTCTGTTGCCCGAAGCAGTGTCTGCTGCTGCAGCTGTGCTCTTCACGCCAGAAGCAACCACATAACGAGTAAGGGCCATACATTCCGCCCAATCAGGCTGCCCGAAAACCTCCACCTCAGGATTTTTTGACTGCCCGGGGTGGTCTGATTGGTGGATTCCCCTGCTGCCCCATTCACTGCTGCCCCGTCCACGTCAGCAGCAGCCCCGTCCACGCCAGCAGCAGCCCATTTTCTCCTCACAGTGTGGAGTGTTTTGTATCCAGCGTGGAGGCACGGATGAGCAACACGTGGCACTCCCCCATTGGCGTATCCTGCCCCAGTTCCAGCCAGTAACCTTTCTGTTCCTCTTTCCTCCATGCCTCCGACCTGCTCTGCTCTGCTCCGCACTCCTTCTGCCTTCCCACCGTCCTTCTCCCCATCCTCCTCCTCATCCTCCTCCCTCTCCTCCTCTTCACCTCCTCCTCCCTTTGTTTTCTCCCCATCCTCCACCTTCCCCCTTCCCTGATGCAACAGGTAAGCCACAGAGCGATCAAAAGCGTCATTCATACCATATCCCTCATGGGAGTGTGCATATAGGCTGAAATGTTGCCCTCCTAGTGACACGTTGGCTAGATATCGCGATGGGGTTGATGTGGCAGCGAATGGGGGTGTGACACATGGCACAAAGGTGACCTCCAGGCTGGATCCCCCCAGGTCTAGCGTCCCTATCGTTTCCTCTCCTGCTGCTTCCCCTGCTGTTTCCCCTGCTGTTTCCCCTGCTGTTTCCTCTGGTGCTTCCCCTGCTTCTTCCTCTGCTGCTTCCTCTGCTACTTCCTCTGCTGTTTCTCCTGCTCTTCCTCCTGCTGCATCCTCTGTTTCCTCTGCTTCCTCCCCTGCTCTTTCCTTTGATGCTTCCCTTGTCACTTCCTCTGCTGCTTCCCCCGCTGCTTCTGCTGCTGCTTCTCCCCCACCTTCTTCTCTCTCCTCGTCTCTTTCCCCATATCTCTCCCCACTCCGCTCTTCTTCCACCCCCATCTCTTCCCGAGCCTTTCTTCTCCCCACCACCCCCTCTTGCTCCTCCTCACCCTTTCCCCCTCCACCCTCCCCTCCACTCGCGCCCTCTTCTGACCCAACTACTCTCAAACCCCCTTCCACCTCTCCCTCCCCTCTCAAACCCATTTCCTTCACACATCCACCATCGCTTCTCAAACCCCCCAACCCTCCCCGCCCCACTTTTCCTTGCACAGCCCCGATCAACCTCTTTCTTCTCTCCACCGCCTCCTTCTCTTCCTCCTCCCTCCGTTGCCTTGCCGCCTCCTCTTCCTCCCCTTCCAATCCCCAATCCAATTGATTACTTTCCACCTCTCCCCATGCCTCTTGCTCCTCCTCCTGCTCCCCCTTTCTTTGCAACCCCCGTTTCTCCTCCCTCTCCTCCACCTCCCCTGCTCCCTGCAACGCTTTCACCTGCATTTCCTCTTTCACCTCTCCCTCCTCCTCCTGCTGCTCCTGCCGCCCCTCTTGCCACCCTTCCTGCTGTAGCAACCTCCTCTTTGCTATCCCTTCGCCTTCTCTCCCATTCGCATCCCTCTCCTTCCCCTCTCCCGAATGGTCCTTCCCCTCTCCCGAATGGTCCTCCCCCTCTCCCTGCTTCTCCATCTCTACCGGCCTTCCCCCTTCTCCATGCCCCTCCTTCTCCTCCTTCCCTTCTGCAACCCCCTCCAATAACCCCTCTCCACCCACCAATCTCCTCCTCTCACCGCTCTCCGCTCCTCCAAACCGCCCCGCAACATAATTCAGCGCAATCCACCCATAAACCGCCTCATCTACACCCGATATTATCCTCACCCATTCCCTCCTAAACCAAAACCCCGAACCACTCAGAACCTCTCTCACTTCCTCCAAAACCCACGCTGACTCATCACCAGGAAGCTTCCTCAAACCGGCTGTAGCAAAGAGAAACACAGGCGTGACGGCACGGGCGGCGGGGTTTGGAATGGCCTGCAGGGCCCAGTCAAGGAGCGGACCAAGGGCGCGTTCACGAAGCCCTTGGGGGTCATTCAGGAATTTATCTAGCCCAGGTTCCGTTTCCTTTCGGTTATAAGCTCTCTTTTGCTGCTGCTTCTGCTGCAGCTGCTGCTGTGGTTGTCGTGTCTGCTTCGAGATTTGTGTTTCAAGGTCTCCTATTCTTCGGCCCTGCTGCTGCTTCTGCTGCTGCTGTTGTTTCTGCTGCAGAAGCAGCAGCTGTTGTTGTTGTTGCGGGTCAAACCCAAACGGCTCCTGCTGAACCTTCTGCTCGTGCTGCCGAATCACAGGGAGACTAACAGCTCCAATCTCAGTCTCCCTGCTGCCACTCACATTCCCCCTGCTGTCTTGCCATCCACCTGTCCCTCCGCCCCTCCATCCGTTCCTCCATCCGTCTGTTCCCCCCTCCCATTCGTACACGTACAACCGCGTTCCCGTGCTCCCCGCGTCGATGACAATGCAGTGCTGCTGACGTGGACCCGCAGTCCCGAATCTCGAATCTCCACTGTCAGAACTCAGCACGATCCCCCCCTTCTCGTCGTCCCCTTCATCTGGTTCCTCCTGCTGTCGTTTCGGCTGTAACGAATCTCGCGAATGCAACGAACTCCGCGACAGTTCGTTGGCGTATCGCGAGTCCTGAAGCACTGCGCGAGCCGGCCCCGAATCGATAGAAGAGGAGGAGAGGGCGAGGGGGAACAGAACGACCCACCAGCAGCACGCAAGAGCTGCGAGTGCCGCTAGCAGCAGCAGCCAGTAATGGCGGCTGGAGGGCATGACGACAGCGACGCGTGAGTGCCTGCCTATTGAGCCAGGCCGTTGCTTGCCGTACTAGCAGAAGGCAGCAGCCAGTAGTGGCGGCTGGAGGGCATTGCTGCAGCGACGCGTGAGTCCCTATTGAGTCAGGCCGTTACTACCGTTTCTAGCCGTTACAAGCCATCACTGGCCGTCTGTTACTAGCCAATACTGGCCGTTCTTAGCAACGGCAGCAGCCAGTAATGGCGGCTGGAGGGCATCGCTGCAGCGACGCGTCACTCATGAACGACTATGATTATTACGTGTCGCGCGCGAGAGGCGGGAAGAAGAATTTATGTTTAGACAGGCATCTCTAGCAGCAGCAGCTGCTGCTGCAGCAGCTGCAGCAGCAGAAGCAGACCCAGCTAGTCGCGAGAGGCGGCGCGTGCGAGAGGCGGGAAGACGCCATAATGAATAAAAGCCGTTAACTAGGAGCACTTTTGAAATCTCTCAAAAGGCGGGACGAGAAGACGCCATGAGGCTTCTCAAAAGACGGGAAGATGTTATGCTAAAGTCGTTCTTGGAGCAGCAGGGGATCGCAGTGGCTAGAATGCACATCATGCGCGAGACGTGACGTGAACCTTTCTTTCGTTATCGCGTCGCATCATGAGTCATTTCGAGCAAACGACGGGGGATGCGTCGAATGCGAGAGACGGGAGACGGGAAGTAATCTTCTAAACGCTCAAAATGAATCCATGCAGACGACGGGAGATTCGTCCCATGCGAGAGACGGTAAGTAGCTGCAGCAGTGGCAGATGCAGCCATCGGAAAAAAAGCGGGGACTGCTTTGCTCTGGTTTGGTGTGGTTTTGGTTGAGAATGGTGCGAACCCAACTGCTTACCGGGGGTGTTGTAGATTGTAGATGGTTTTTTACAAATGGGGTCCTCTTCCACGCGTCACTGTACCCAATGCGTTTGGTCGTTCTGGTTCGGGCCAACATCATAGACATGCAAATTAGTGTGGTAACCCTATCCAATGGTATGCAAAACCGTCTTACCTCTGTTTGCAAGTTATTGACATGCTGCCCTGAAAGCACGTTCGTTTTTAATTCAAATTTGATCTTTACCGCGCTTGCCTTCGCGCTAAGACGTGATTTCTTCGGGCCAAGAAAAAAATAAAACCCGATCGGAAAGGGATGCGTCAGGGAGGCATCAACCCTAAAAACAATGTCCTTTCCCGTGTTTAGGGTTGATCCCTCCCAGAAATGCGTCCAGGTCCCTAGGGGTTTTATTGTTTTTCTGCCCTGCCCCTACATTTCCCGGTAGCAATATATTGGTCCAAATTAATGTTATCGAAATGGACCCCGTAGCCTTTCATTCCAGTGGATTTTTCGTCACATTTAGCGGAAAATAGTAGCCGGCAGGAATATTTGTTAGGCGCCGAACAAGACGCGGTAAGAACCACGACGATACGAAATCGAAAACGCAACTGATTCAATCCCATATTTTCTTCCTTTTCTGTGCTGCGTCAGCTGTTACACAGTGTTTTGAGTGGCGCTACCAGACAATTTTGCGCAGCAGAACTGGGGTATCGACGGTTTTGCATACCATCGAATAGGGTTACCAGACTAATTTGCATGTCTATGATGTTGGCCCTTCTGGTTCAGTTGCAGCTCTGTTCCTATTTGCAGGCAATCCCAAAAACGCGCGGAAATCAGCATTGAAGGGCGCGTCTGGGTACACGTGGATGTCGGACTGGCTGTTGATATCGAGTTCCGGCCAACTTCATTGATACTCAAATTATGCCTGACGCGGTTTGCAAACGTACTCAACAGAACTCGAGTTGGCCGTATCCAGTTTGTCAGAATGTTGTATTTGTCTAGCCTGCAGTGGGGTACTTTATAGCGAGTACAGCCCAATCTAGGGTTTGCTATTTGTATCTCAACTGCTGCTAGTCCAAACCCTCTTTCTGCTTCTAAACTTTCTCCTACTACTTCTGACATGCTATTGTCAAAATGCTAGGCCAAAACGAGAAACAGGCAAGAAGGGTTTTGACTAACAAGCATAGGGATACATATATGCAAACCCTAGAAGGGTTGTACTCGCTATAGAGTACCCCACTGCAGGCTAGACAACCATCACATTCTGACACACCCCCATAGTCAAAGTGGGGTACAATCAACATAACAAGCAGACAGAGCAATAGTTCACAATTATAAGCAAAGCTAGAGGCTATCACAGAGGGCAAGTGAGGAGGAGGAGAAACTGTGGGAGCAAGAAGATGAGAGGCGACGGCTGAAGCTGCAGACACACAGGCAGCAGGAGTACGCCGCACTGACGCTACCAGGCTAAACCCGGACTACACGGCGACAGGGGGTCGCAGCTGGCTCGCTGTGCTCCCAGGAGTGCACACACTGTAGCTACCGGGCGCAGAGCCCCGGACTACTCAGGCCACAGGGGGTCGTGGCTCCCTGGACTTCAGGCGCTGCGGACGACAAGTCGACGGCCTCCTCTCAACTTCCCCCAGCTGTCCCACCCCCTTTTTACACACCCCCTGCTGTTCCCCTAGCACCGCTCACACTACACCCCCTAGCGCCACTCCCTCGGCTCCCACACACCCACCCCCCTCAGCGGCAGCTGCAGCAGTGGGAGACGGAGAAGGAGGAGGAGGAGGGGAACGGCACTCAGTGGCTTCACCCCCATACCCCTCACCCCCAAACCCTAATTCAGGAGAACGGGCTGTAGGAGGGGTGGGGCGCCAGTAGAAGCACGGGGGACAGTGGGGAGGGCAGGGGCAGCGAGGAACGGGCCGCCCACGGGCCTGGCATAGCCGCCCGAACCGCGCGCAGGCGGCCCGAGCCGCGCGCGGGCCTGGCGCTTCCCGTACGGGCCGCGCGCGGGCCTGGCGCAGCCCGTACGGGCCGCGCGCGGGCCTGGCGCAGCCCGTACGGGCCGCGCGCGGGCCTGGCGCAGCCCGTACGGGCCGCGCGCCGGCTGTACGGGCCGCGCGCAGGCCACGACGGGCGACGGGGGGCGACGCGCGGGTCCCCGTCGCCCGTCGCAGCGCCTCCCGGGGGCGACGCGCCGAGTGACGGGGCAGAAAACCGCCGCGCGCCCGGGGCGCGCGGCGGGAAGAAAAAATCGCTGCGCGCCCGGAGCGCGCGGCAGGCAGGAAACAGCAGGAAACAACAGCGGAAGCTTCTGGTGGGACCACCCACAGGATCGACCCAGGAGGGTCGACCCGCTCTGATAGCATGTCAAAATGCTAGGCCAAAACGAGAAACAGGCAAGAAGGGTTTTGACTAACAAGCATAGGGATACATATATGCAAACCCTAGAAGGGCTGTACTCGCTATAGAGTACCCCACTGCAGGCTAGACAACCATCACATTCTGACATGCTATCAGAGCAGGTCGACCCCCTTGGGTCGATCCTGTGGGTGGGCCCACCACCTAATGCTTCCGCTGCTGTTCTACTTGTCACGCGCCTCGGTCGCGCGACGTCTCCTTGTTGCGAATTTTTTTTTTAAGGTTTTCTGCCTACCGTGCGCCCCGAGGCGCGCGGCGGTTTCCCACCGTCGAAGTGCCCCCCGTCGCCCGTCGAAGCCCCCCCCCCCCCCCCCCCCCCCCTCCCCCCCGTCGCCCGTCGAAGCGCCCCCGTCGCCCGTCGGAGCGCCCCCCGTCGCCCGTCGAAACGTCCCCGTCGCCCGTCGAAGCGCCCCTGGGACCCGCGCGCGGCCCGTACGGGCTGCGCCAGGCCCGCGCGCGGCCCGTACGGGCTGCGCCAGGCCCGCGCGCGGCCCGTACAGCCCGCGCGCGGCCCGTACGGGCTGCGCCAGGCCCGCGCGCGGCCCGTACGGGCTGCGCCAGGCCCGCGCGCGGCCCGGGCAGCCCGCGCGCGCCTCGTCCCGCCTGCGGCAGACCCGTGCGCGCGCCTCGTCCGTCCCCCAAGCTTCTGTCGGCGCCCCACCCCCGCTACTGCCCGCGTTCCTGTGTTAGGGTTTGGGGGTGGCGGGTGTGGGGGTGCCGGTTGTGTGCCCCGTCCCCTCCTTCTCCTCCTCCTCCGTCTCCCGCTGCTGCAGCTGCCGCTCAGGGGGGTGGGTGTGTGGGGAGCCGACGGAGTGGTACTAGGGGGGTGAAAGGGGAGTGGAGCTAGGGGCGAAGCAGGGGGTGTGTGTCGAGGGGTGTGGGACTGTTGGGGGAGGTTGAGCGGAGGCCGCCGTCGTGTCGTCTGCAGCGCCTGTATTCCGGGGTTCTGATAGCCACCGGTAGCTCAGAGAGCCGGTTGCACCTGTCGCCCGTGGGTCCGTTGCTCCTGTCGCTGCTGATCAGACGCAGAGCCTGTTACTCCTGTATTCCGGGGCCCTTGCTCCCGGTAGCCACTAGAGCTGCACCAGAGCCGTCTGTTGCCCGTGTGTCTGCAGCTTCAGTCGTCGCCTCCACTCTTCTCTCCTCTCGCCAGCCCTCCTCCTCCTCACTTGCCCTCTGTGACTGCCTCTAGCTTTGCTCATAAAATGTGAACTACTATTATGACTGCTTGTTGTGCTGATTACACCCCACTTTGGCTATGGGGGTGTGTCAGAATGTTGTATTTGTCTAGCCTGCAGTGGGGTACTCTATAACGAGTACAGCCCAATCTAGGGTTTGCTATTTGTATCTCAACTGCTGCTAGTCCAAACCCTCTTTCTGCTTCTAAACTTTCTCCTACTACTTCTGACACAGTTCTGATGAGTTATTGTGGCCAACTTCATTGATACTCAAATTATGCCTGACGCGGTTTGCAAGCGTACTCAACTTCGATTTCTCATCGCTGATTGGTTCTCGCTTTTCAATCACACTTTTCAGGCTAAAACACCTCCGAAATGTGATAGAAACATAACGCGATAACCGAACTTAATTAGACAATATTGTGTGGAGGGGCTACCTTACAATAGACAAAAAAAGTATTAAATACTCAACCCTTTACAAATAAAATTTGTATAGATAAAAAAAACCCTTGGAAAATAATGCGGACTAGGAATAACTTAATGGAATAGGGTGGACGACATCATGCAACAATGATTAAAGGGTTGATGCCATCCTTACTGGATGCCTTTCAGTAGGAAGGCTGTTTTTTAATGCCTTTTGGGTAGCAAGCTCCGCTGGGCGGTGTTGTTTGTTGTAGCATAAAAACCTAAACACTATACAACATCCCGTATTTACGGTTAACATTACCAGATTATTTCTTGGTTATCCAAGCGTTTTGGTATGTTCCCTTTTAGGCTGGGTATGTGCGGACCTGCTGGTGGTGACTTTGTTACAGTATTGTGCTTATATTAGTCCCGTTAAGTATTTGTACTGACTATACTGAGAAATTGTCGGTTGAGTACGCTTGCAAACCGCGTCAGGCATAATTTGAGTATCAATGAAGTTGGCCGGAGTTATTGGGCAATTCCGCCCAACCCCTGCCACCGCGATTCCTGCTGGCGATCTGGTTACGAGAATTCGTGTATTGTTAACGAGCGCTACTATTGAAGTAACATCCACGTACAGTGACGTCTGGCACTGTACGGATTCGTAATTTTCCCACATAACAACTACACAGTACGTTGTATGTTTTTTCGGAGCGGTTATAATTGTGGTTATAAATGTGTCCTGGATTTACTGTTATAAAACGAACAGTGCTATTAGTTTTCATAAATACACTACCGATCGCCAATTGATATGCGAATGGAAGTTTATATGTTTGATTATTACATAATGTTGGATTCAAAAAATTGAAATTTTCTGCTTTACTAATAAAGATAACAGTTAACGCTCTTATCATTATTATTAGGTTCTGACACGTTACTACTAAAATCAGTTAAGCTACTACAAAGCTTGGGAATGTTAATCTGAATGCCCAATGCTCACTCAGCATATCCACCTAGGGCAATCCGTTGGGGAAAATCTGGCTTTCATATCCCTCAATCAAAATCTTGACGTCCGGGGACATCCGGAAGCCATCAGGAGCCACGGGATCCCAGATACCCCGGTCCCCATTTTCATAGGTCTCTTTGATCCAGGTCACCACGTGGGAGATCTTCAGCTCCACGTTCTGCTGGTTGACCGTCTCAGACGTGTCAAGGGAGGGGTTGGCACGGCCCCTGGCATTTGCCAAGGGCCATTCCACCTGCATATCAACGAGCACAATGTTAGTACGTGATAATGTAATCATGCAAAACAGGCCCAACAATAGCACCCGAACTCACCACGTTGCAGGCATATCCCACCAATGGGATCTTCACCATGATGGCGGTCGCCTTCTTGCTGCCAAAACCGCGCAGCAGCACTAGCTCGAAGGAACGGTTGGCGAATGGCCGTGAGCTCACAATGCAGAAATGCCACTTCGACCCAAAGCGCACTGTGAATAACATTGAATACCACAACGAGCAAGGAACAGATCTATAAGCACATCATGCTGCGAGACTGTACAATCAGCACCTGCATGTTAGGAAAATAGGGCGTACGCCTGTGAACGGTGACATGAAACACATCTTACCGTGCATGAAATACAGGGTCCACTCGGCAGTGGTGGTGGTGGGAGCCACGCCCTCGTCCGCGAGTTCCTTCCACTTGCTCTCGGCGACACATCCGCCCGGTCCGCGACCGTACGTCTTGATGTCAGAGTTGTAGTTGCTGCGCTTCTCGAACACCTTCTGCATGGCGATGTTCTCCTTAGCGGGGAAGTTGCATATCACGTAGTAGAACATGTCCCACGTGACGCCAGCTTCTGCATATTTCTCCGCCATCATCTCCCGCAGGTCGGGCCACGACGGGTAGAACCGAAGCCTCCAGGTTGATGCAGTTGTAGTCATGTAGGTGAAGGCCTCCAGTGCTTTTTTCTGAAATGGAAAACAAGTGTATGGAACAGATTCGGTTAGACAAATGGAATATTGCAAAAGCGTTACAACGAATAAAAAAACAGGAACGATGCAAAGGCGGGAACATAACAGGCAACATCGTCATCAAAAGCATTCCGGCTTGGGAATACGTACCCCAAACAGGTGGTCCTGGTCGAGGGTGGCCGGGACAATCACCACATTGTTCTGGTCACGTGGGAGCGACTGTAGGTCGTACGTCGGCAGAATGGCGGTGTTGACAACAGCGCCATTCGTGCTAGCGGTGTTTGCAATCTGTTGGCGCAGAGCCTGGATCAGAGCGACCTGCTCTTCGTAGCGCAGGGAAAGCGTCGCGTAGGCCGACTCCTTTTCGTCCAGCGCAATCTGCAAGTCAAGGGCCCGCTCTTGCGACACCTTCAAAGAGTTTTGGAGGTCTTCGACCTCAGCACGAAGGCGGACGATTTCCTGGGAACCTGGAGAGGGAGTGACTGGTGTACAAAAAACACGCAACACCGATGGACTGACTGTCAGCGAAACTGGTTGAAAGTATTGCCAGGTTGAGCAGATGGATGATTATAAAATTAAACATAATGAGAAGCCGCACGGTCAACAGACGTACCCGTGCGTGCACGAGAAACAACAGTCAGACCGTGAGCGTTGACAGGCTCAGCGGCGTGGTGAGCGTTGAGAGGAGCAGCGGCGTCGGTCGTACCCTCCGCTGCATCCGCAAAAGCCTCCGTAAGATCTAGAGGTGCCTCTATGACAGTCTCGCTCATCAGCGTGTTCTCAGGGTTTGAAGTCGTGGCTACGAGAGGCACAGCAGGAGCAGGCGATGTTGATGCAGGGTTTTGTGCGAGAGCTGCCATGTTACCCTTCTTCTTCTTCTTTCGTAGCTCCTCGGGAAGCAACCCGTTAGCCTTCATAAGGTCCATGAATGTCATGAACGACTGGATCTTCTCGAGAACATCGCCGTTGTCGTTACCCGTCGCAGGGTCGTCAACTGGAACACCAGAAGCATCCAGCATGACAACGTCACAACCGTTTTCTGGCGCGAGAGATCGCTTCCCGCCACACGAAGTTCCCTGCGACCCTGACATGATGCAAGCTGTTGCGACTTAGAATTGTCGCAGGCGATATGGAAGTGCTGATATATGACAGCCTTCCTGCGATGTTGTGGGGTTGGGCTGAAGGTTTTTTACGCCTTCGTCGTCCATAATGAGTTCGACATGTTGTGCAGGTTTCCCAAAGTTCTGGGGGTACTGATTCGGGAATTTTCAAGATTGCTAGGAGGTCTGTGCAGGGGAAATATCGTACAGATTGTAACCATCCCCACCCCGTTACGCCGTAAGTGCTAGTGTTCATAGTGACCAGAGTTTAGATGATCGGGTGCGCAGTTTAGGTTAACAGTATCGAAAAATGTTTCAACAAACTACTGTAACGGTACAACTGTTTTCCGGGATGACGGCTCATACTACTGTGCCAGGATTCTCAACCAGATGCATGCGCGATTCCAGCTGGCAGATTACAAGAGCTCAGGATTGGTCCTTGACGAGCGGGTTTCCCAAATGAGTGTCGTGATTGTGGGTCGCACTGCGACGTGTTTGGGAATCGCGTCTGCCAGTCGGGCACTGCCTATGTTCCTCCGACAGAAACGGACGTCGTGGGAAGCAGGCCTGCCCGTAAAAACCAGGCATGTTGAAAATTGTAAACTTTCGCTCACTCAGTTATGATGTGCTTAGCTGTAACCTGGAAAACCATCAGAACACAATGTGCATGGGCTGCACTAAACATTCCGCCCTGGAATTTGCAGTTCGGATTAACAAACTGTAAATCCGAAAAACGGAATGGTGCGCCACAGTCACAACTCAAGACGCGCATCGCATTGACATCTTCACTGTACGTGGCGGCCCGGGTTCCACCAAACGCCGTTCCTGCCCACTGGCAGTGTGGATGCTGTGCTGTGCAGCATTACAATCCTGACAACTTGTACAATCTCGATATCATGAATTGGACAAGTAGGAATAGCAATCACCAACATCTTCATATTGTACTTATGACTTTTTTCTTTAAACATTATGGAATAGGTATCCCATGCGGTTGTAGTCAGGGTTAAAAAAATGAGAGCTTGCTTAGAACATGAACTTGTTGACAAGCCAGCAGTCCTCCGTAGGAGCAGTTCGGATCAGCTCTACAGCACGTAATATACTAGTAACTGCAATAACGCGATAACGATCGTTGGATGGTGCCCAGTGGAGTTTCCTGCAACGAGTTGCAGCGTCTGCTGTTGGACTTTCATCGTAGTATTTAATGAAAGCGTAGGGCCGCAACACCCTCCCAATCCTGACTTGAAACAAAATCAACACCTTAGCATACCACTCTGTGGTCCCTGTGTCATCCTCTCCTACAACCGCGACATTGGAGAACCAAGGACGGCCATAGAAGATCGGTGCTGCCCTGACGTGGTGTGGTAGGCGACTGAATGCTGCATCGACGGCTGCAGGCATGGCTAATCCATTGTGGATCTGAGTGGTAAGAGGTAGGGTGCAGAGGTAATAAATGAGCAACATTTAATGGTCTAGTAAAGGAGAGGATGTGTGGGAGGATGTGTGGGAGGATGCGTGGGAGGATGTGTGGGAGGATGCGTGAGAGGATGTGTGGGAGGGATGGAAGGGAGGATGTGTAGGAGGGATGGGAGGGAGGATGTATGAGAGTATGTGTAGGAGGGATGGGAGGGAGGATGTGTGGGCAGGTGTGTGGGAGGATGTGTGGGAGGACGTGTGGGCGGATGTGTGGGAGGATGAGTGGGCGGATGTGTGGGAGCATGAGGGGGAGGACGTGTGGGCGGATGTGTGGGCGGATGAGTGGGCGGATGTGTGGGAGGGGGTGTGGGAGGGGGTGTGGGAGGATGCGTGGGAGGGATAGGAGGGATGTGAGGGATGGGTGGGATGCGAGGGATGTTACTAGATGATAGAGTTAAGATACGTGACCAAATGTCAAGCGTGGCAACACTCAAAAGCTTCAAATACAGCTTATCTTACATGTATTGTGTCGATGGTTCGCCCTGAGCAATCTGGCGCATTGTTCAGCGCGGTGCGAAGGAATGGTAAGTCCGCCGATAATGCCGCGGTGAACTCCCGATCCCGGTCAGCATCTGGCGTCAAGGACACAACGTATGGTGCCCCACGCCGGTTTTGAGGCACCAAGAGCCTCCAACTCTCGCGCGTCAACACCCTTGACTGGAATGATTGAACTAACAGAGAAATCAGTACAAATAGCAAACCCTAGAATTGTGTACCCCATATAGGCTAACCCACTGTAGCCTAACAAACCCAACATATATAATGTTTGACACACCCCCATAGGCAAAGTGGGGGAGACCTAGGGGTCACAAGACCAGTCAAGGCAAAGCAAGGCAACAACAAGCTCAGGGTGGATCTCGAGGATTCCACACAAATTCCGAGCACAAGCTAGTGGTCACAAGACCAGTTCACATGCAGGTTTATAACAGAGTCAGAGATACAGTGATCACAACCTAGCAAGAGTAAACATGCAGGTATAGATATATATAGTGATCACAGTACAAGCAAAGTCAAGAGGTAAGCAAGTGAGGTCCAGTAGGCACAAGGCCTAGTAGAGTGCAGAAGCGCTGATGGTCACGAGGCTGAAGCGCCTTGGTGAACACATCAGCAGTGTTGGCCTCAGTGGCCACGTAGCGAATACAAAGCTGACCGCGCTGCTGCAGCTCTCGAGCAAGGAAGTACCGCAGAGCGATGTGCTTCGTTCTGTGCTCCAGTCTGTGCTCCTCACACAAGGCAATGGCAACCTTGTTGTCGACGTACAGTACTGGAGGAGAACGAGGCGGCTCTCCGAGGTCAGTCAGCAGGTAGGTCAGCCAGCGTAGCTCCTGGGCAGCCATGGCTGTAGCGTAGATCTCAGCCTCGCAACTGGAGCCGAGAACAGAAGAAGAGCGTGTAGAGCGCCAAGAAACTGAGCCAGAGCCAAGGCTGAAGGTGTAACCCTGAGACGACCGCTGAGTGGCCTGGTCGTCTGCCCAAGAAGCGTCTGAGTGCCCTGTGAGCACAACTCGGTCTCGCCCTCCAAGCACAAGCCCCATGCCCGACGTACTGCACAAGTAGCGCAACACCCTCTTAGCGGCATCCATGTGCTCCTTCCTGTGACGGCCAGGAGCGACATAGCGTGCAAGGATGCTAAGAGGGTATGCAAGGTCAGGTCGAGTGCAGGTCATCAGGTACATGAGGCAGCCCACAAGCTCTGGATACGGGCCACTCGGCTCTACGGACTCATCCGAAGGCAGAGCTGAGAGCGAGTGACCGGCAGGCAGAGGAGTGGACTGAGGCGAGGAGTACGTGAAGCCAAAGCGCTGGAGAACCTGCTGCACCATGTGTGACTGAGTCAAGGTGATGGTGCGCCGTGCTCTGTCCCGGGTGATCCGCAAGCCAAGATAGCTTGTCAGCTCACCCAGGTCTGTGCACGTGTGTCTCCTCTGCAGCTCCGACTTCACGTAGGCGAGTCCTGCAGTGTCAGCAGTGGCAAAGACCAAGTCGTCGACGTACACGAGGATGTAGAACGGCGGCAGCGAAGTGTCGGTGCGCAGGAACAGCGACGGGTCAGCTGTAGAAGGCGCGAACCCAAGAGCCGCAAGTGTAGTCCTCAGTGTGTCGTGCCACTCACGCGGAGCCTGGCGGAGACCGTAGACCGGCCGCTGAAGCCTCCACTGGGTACCAGGAGGAAACGACCCAGTGAAGCCAGGTGGGCGGCGCAACCAGATCTCCTCGTGCAGGCTGCCCTGCAAGAAAGCAGTGCTGAAGTCAAGTGAGTGAAGCTCGTAGTCGCGGTGAGCGGCTATGTGCAGCAGCACCCGAAGAGTGGTCATCTTCGGGGTGGGGGAGAAGGTCTGGAAGAAGTCAACTCCCTCTCGCTGACTGAAGCCTCGAGCCACGTAACGCGCCTTGAAGACAGGCGGAGAACCCGGCGGCCGCTTCACCCTGAAAATCCACATGACACTGACGATGTTCGCCCCAGGAGGGGGAACCTCGTCGACGTAGGTGCGTGTGGACTTCCAGGAAGCCATCTCGGCGTCCATGGCCGTCTGCCACTGAGAGGAGTAGGGACCCGCCATCGCCTCAGCGTAAGTGCGTGGGGTCGGGATGTCTGGTGCATCCGGGTCTCCCTCAGGGGCAACTAGCAAGGACACGAGACGGGGCAAAGCAGCAGCAAGACACTGGAACTCCTCCTGTCTGTCCTCAAGGACGTCCGTGCCAAGAGCACACTCACCCCCGACGGACGGAGGACAGACAGACTCAGACTCAGACTCAGCAACAAGGCTAGCAGCGTAGTCTAGACGACAGGCAGCAGCAAAGTCAACCAACTCAGCGACCAGAGCAGACGCAGCAGAGGACTCAAAGGTAGGGTCAGTGACAACAGTAGCGAGGAGACGCGTGACAGTAGGGTGCTCAGCACGGTACCGGTCAGACTCAGGGTCCGGAACGTGAGGCAAAGAAGACGCGGGAGGAGACGGTAGAGGGACACGCTGAGGAGCAGTAGAGGGACGCAGAGTCATGTAGTGAGTGCCTAGGACAGGAGGAGGACGCTCACGACGGACACGACTACCAGTGCGAGCAGGACGAACAGGCGACGCAGGACGAGACTCAGGCTCACGACGCTCTGTAAGACCTCCTGTGGGACCAGTGTAAGGAGAGGGAGCAGGGAGAGGCGAGGTAGGTGGTAACTGTGACTGCGACTGGACAGGCAGAGGACACTCTACGGAGGGAGGAGGACAAGGAGGAGGAGCCTGCCCAAGAACCTGCTGAAGGAGCGGTACGAAGTACGGTCGCGGCCGCGCAGCGTCTCCAGAAGCAGAGGAGACTCCAGCGGCCGGGTCCACAGCACCAGCAGCAGCTCCACCGGCCGGGTCCTCAGCACCAGGAGTAGCTCCAACGCCCGGGTCCTCAGAAGCAGCAGCAGCGCCACCGCTCGGGTCCTCAGGTCCAGCAGCAGCTCCACC